GTATGAAATTGGAGGTAGTTTGAGGATTAAATTTTTTATGCTTTTTAAGCTCAAAAAAGTGTGTGGGGGGGTTGTATTATACATGAATAAATACGGTAATTTCCTTTAGCCAACACAAAAACAGTCCTAACTCAGTCAGTTTTATAAATATCGAGATAAAATTTGGCGAGGTAGTAGCTGAGAGTCATCCTTACTCGATCCAACTGTTAAAACACATTTTATAAAATTATTCAAACTTTTAATGAAATGCAGTTTTATGAAATATTCAGTGTTCTGTGCTAAATAATAGAGTGAATACTGTGTTCACTCCTACGCAAAAACAAAATCCCTTTCTCTTTCACAGCACTTTAAATTGCAATCTGGCTTTAAAGTGGAACTTAAAATGAAATCCACAGTTTTACCTAAATCCCATCAAACAAACAGTGAATTGTTTTGACAGAAACAGTCTGAGCTGATAATAAGAGGCTGTTCTTCAGCTCTGACATGAAGAAGGACYGCTCTACAACAGAACACCTGCGCAGATGTGTCATTCCACCATATGGAGCTYTAAGAATAACCACTTCCTGCTGGCGCCGGTCGCAAAACAAAACGCAGCAGAAACATCAAGCACACCTGCAGAACTGCTCTGGTTACAGGATTCCTGCTGAGCCGGCGAATCAGCCCRGGGGAACTGAAGTCGCTCCTGTAAACTGAACTCTGATGGTAATGAGGAAAGAAAAGAGCAGGGCGGCAGGAAGAGGCTCTCCTCTAAACAGTGAGGTCCTCACRGGTTTGAGAGCTCAGACAATGACACGAGGGTGGCAATCAACGAACACCCTTCATGACTGCAAAAACTGAACTGCAGCATCCTGTTTAACTCCATTCTGATCTCACTAGAGTCACGTTATCTTAGCTGGTGATGATTTTTGCTTCAGCTGCTGTTTCCATCACTAAGAGGCAGTCAGGGAGTCTCTTCCAACTTACAGAACAATAGGGGTGATGGTGAGGAACTTGCGCGATGCGGTGAACTGAACGCCGTAGTCCATCTGCTCCCAGTGGGTCAGGAGGCGAGCCTTACCCTGGTCCGGGGTCTCAAAGGGGGTCCCTTTGACCGTGTGAAGCAGGAGGTACATGCACTGTAACCACAACCAGGAAGTCGAAGATGTTAAAACAGCTGCAGACGTGTGCAATAACGGTTGAAACTGGCAGATGAAATGTGTGTACTGCTACCTAGAAGCAGCAATTAAAATGCAAGCTGTAAAATACTAGCTGATTAGCAAAAGGCTAGCTAACTTTAGCGTTCACTTATATTACTAGAATTTGCATTAGCAGTATTAGCATTATTAGAAGCACAGTTGGCATTAGAAGTAGTCGTGTTAGCACTGCAGTAGTATGAATAGGGGTGTAGGAAAATATCGATACACTGATGTATATCGATATTTCATTTCCCGATACTGTATRGATACTCTAAAGCCCTGTATCGATTTTTAATTAAGGTTTAAAATGTCAACTTTCCTGCCATTTCATTTTTATGTTGTAGTTCAGCCTCTGACGGCTAGTTGGCAGCAGTGAGCCAGCCATTTGGCTCCTCTACTCCTAAGAAGCTAAAGAGTAACGGTAGCATTAGCATCATGAGTAAACACTAGCTTTATGCACCGAAAGCTGAATCTTAGCAGATAAGATTGACACCCTCTGCCTTCTAAGCTGAGGTAAGTTTACGAACAGTTCTTTATTAGTCAGAATGTCTGTATTTTAAGCCAAATTGAAGTGTCTCATCCGGGGCGCTCTTTTTCCGACTGTAGTCAGCCGTCACGTTACAGAAGGAAGGCAGGCAGGCATGCGTCTAGCGCCTCGAGCTTAGCGGGTGTTGTGTGAAATTCAGTTCCTCTGTGAAAATCTGTCCCCGTGTGTCTGGAGGACACACTCCAGCCAGAGAGGCAGATCCAACCATTTTCACAGTGCTTCTGATGAATTTCTCAGTAAAAGGACTCTCATAATCTTGTCAAGGTAACTTTCAGTTGAATCATCAGCTGCTGCTTAAAAAAAGCTCTAAAATGAATAAATAAACAAAACCTGGCCTTTTTTTTTTTAAATCACAGAATGAGTCGTTATCAGTCCTTTTCCAACTTTTCTCATGTTCTCTTTAGCCTCACTATTCATCAGTCAGCCACCAAACACTGTCTTCCAACACATTGGGCCTCATGCAAGAACCGTTCGTACGCACAGATTTGTTCTTAAATTGTGCGTACGAGTGATTTAGGAGAATTTGTGGCATTCACCAATGTTGTCGTATTCTAAGATTTTTTTCAGATACGAACAAAATTCCCGAGTGGTCCAGACCTGTCGTATATTTTACCAGCAGTCAGTCTGCTGTTATCCAGACGGGTTTTCTTCACTAATAGCATTATATTTAGTAAGTTTGAAGATATTTTGAGTTGAAAATAAATCACACTCCATAATTATGTTGACAATAGGCTATTCTGCTTGAATTAGAGTTATAATTTTAAATGTAATAATTTAGACTAACAATATAAATTGTCCGTTCGTCCGTTTTCCGCCGCTTATCCGGGATCAGGTCGCGGGGGCAGCGGGGGGTACGGTGTGCAGCGCTGTGGCTTCTGAATAAAGAAAATGATTTAACACAGTTGTTTATACTTTTAGCAGCTCTTTTTATTCCACAGCTGACCTGCTAAAAATGACAGATTTTCTTTTCTGGATCTCTGACAGACGGACTTCAATCTCTGAACTCCTAAAGTTCTTCTTTTTAATTTTCGCTGTCATTTTCATGAATGGACACTTCCTGGTATCTGAGGCAGGAAACATAGCCTTATATGGTGTTTTTGGGGTGGTAATTATGCTAATCTCCTCTCGCGTGCACGAGCAGCTGGTACACATTCATCAATTTACGCAGCTCATTTACACACTTTTCCTGAAGATAGAAGAGTTTGTTGAATCTGATGTGACATGTTCGTACGAACCCTTTGTTTGAACAAAAGTAAGAGAAATTTAGGATAAGAATACGAACATGTTCTTGCATGAGGCCAATTGTGTGTATTTATAATTTTTTTTATTGCTGATACAAGAACCAAATATTTCAGTTGTTTAAAATAATCTGTTCCCCCTCTGTAACATGGGAACAAAATAATTTACGTCCAAGTCTTTAACAGTGTTAATTACTCTCATCATGAACAACAAATTCTGAAGATTTGGGAACATTTGCTCTTTATTGGCCAAAGTTACTTTTTTAGGCTTGTAAGCTACAGTTTGCACTGTTTRAATTAAAGAAAACTAATTTTCTCACCGCATCTTTTATTAATTTTGTCCAGCTGTAAACTAGGTCTCTGTCCAATCAGATACAGATATTGTGTAGTTGGTGCTTTTAATCAGTTTTCAGTTCAATTAATTCAATCCAAGTCTACGGAACAGTCCCAAAATGTCACCAACATCACTCTGTCCCTCTAAAATCGTTCAGAAAATCAAATTGTATCGTTCGCTGAATATCGTGATATACATCGTATCATGATCAGAATATCGAATATCATATCGTGAGGTAAGTGTATCGCTACAGCCCTAAGTATGAAGTAAATTTATATCTTAAAAACATAAGTATTTTTTTGTAAATATAGTTAACTACTTGGAACAGTATAAAAAGTTACAACATCCATGTCCTGAATGAACATTTAAAATAACACAATATATGTAGAAGTAGTTATTTGACAAAAACAATATATGACTGATTCAGCATCTGAAAGAGAGCAGACTTTCTGTGGAGAGACAACGATGTCCAGTTAGGATAAAGCTAAGGAAATCTGGAATTAACCTAAAAATAGAAACTGTGTGCTTACAGGATTAGAAGCTCTGAAACTGAAGGGTGGAGAGAAAAAGAAACAATCTGAGTTAATGACGCAACACAAAGACTGCAGAAGCAATAAATGACCCCAAACCTATTAAAGAACAAGACAGAAGAAGGAAGCAACAGACGTTTCCTCTCAACTTAAACACCTTCCCAAACCCTTTTAKTAAGTTTGGTATTTTACTGGACTCTGACACTTAAATTTAACTAAATATTAGAAAATTCACAAATTTTCAGTCGCAGTTAAAGTGCTGATTTCTGCTTCTGTTTCTGCCTCCCGAAGTCATTAATAAACTTTAAAAGACGCGTGTCTGAGCCGAGCCGCCGCACTGACCAGGTTGTGGATGAGGTTGGTGAGGGTCCAGACCACGGGGACGCTGACGAAAGGGATGCTGAGCAGGATGATGTGGAGGAGGCCGATCCCCAGGATGTACGACAGCCACATCCCCCTGCTGTTCATCACTCGCGTGTTGGGGTTCACCTCGCTGTGCGCCGTCCCCACGTTCATCGCGGAAGCGTTCGGCGTACCGCACGATGGAGCTCTGCAATTCACAGCTACAGTTAGACTGATTGGCTGAGACTTTTTCAAAAGGCKAAGCATAACACAACTTTTTTAATTAAACAAACAAGTAATAAATCTTCATTTACCTCAAAGATAAGAGTTTTTTTTCCAGCAGAAAATTATATTTTCAGRACTACATCTACATTTCACTGGTAAACAACACAAGAAGTATGTGGTGACGAATGAAACGGTTTGATTTTTGGGACAAGGGTAGTTGAAAACATAAACTAACAATATATTAGGTTGTTTAAAAAGTCTTCAGGAAATTCAAGCAGCATTCAGTCTCTCAAATAGGAATTAAAAACCAGACAAAAGATAGAACTCTGGGTACTTTTTCTATGAATAAATCAACATAAACTCCTATTATTCCAACCTCCTGGCTGAGAAATTGATTATTTTAAAGAGGGTGGCTCTGCCAAGCAGGAAAAATCACAAATTTATTGCATAAATGAGTCCAGCTGAATCAGCACTGAGGAGAATTTGTATTTGAACAATAAAAACACTAACCTTGATGCACACCTGGTTTATTTAATAGTGATTAAACAGTGATTTATTGCAATAATAACATTGCACATCACAGGATTTACCTAATATAATGCAGCTTTAAATCCCAGTGCACCATTAGGTAGATTTATCACTTGATAATACATTAACGTAATGACATACTGTAGGTAAATTTACTAAAATCAKAGCTTTTTATTAGACAGACACCTGACAGCCAATCACAACACTGTATTTTTAACTTTCTGTAAATGCTAGAAATACTATCCTAAAAAAATGTAGCAACACCTGTGCACTTTTTAATTTAATTTCTTGTGAGTTCTTTATTGTTTTGTTTCTCTCTTCTTTGCATAAAATGATTGCTGTGTAGTTAACACGTTGGAAATAAAAAGCAACAACACAATAACTATAATAATAATAATAATTGTGCAATAATATAGCACAGTTGTAAAAGTCAAGAAGAACCTCTGAAGTTAAGATTAAGTCCTGACAAACAAGAGCAGACTAATCTGACAAAAAGCTCCCTAAGTTATRTAACTGGAAACAAAATTAGCCAAAAACAAAGATTTTCAGCTTAGCACAACAGGAGCTAAAAGTGAGCTCATTGACGCTGATTTCTGCTGAGTAATTAAAACGTCACGCTTACAGGAGAGGAAAATGGACCGACCTGTGGGACACTACGGGTCCGTTATCCCAGTTCTGGTGTAAAATCGATGTGCTCAGTTATGTAACTGGTAACTACCACAGGGCGAGACTCCGGGGCTTCCAGACACCCGGTGCCATCCCTCCGCTTCATACGAGGGGCTCTGGTGTCCCTATCCGCTCGGAAACACGCGAAACACCGAGACTCGTCCACGTTTACTTCGCCTATACCCACCAGCTGGTGACAACACGACAGTCCACAAGGAAAACTTTCACGGCCGCATATATAGGCTGAGCTTGTGCACATCGCACTCCGCGTTGATTGGTTGCTTTGTGTCACGTGATCCCAACCWGCCTATCAGGGCTCGATACAATGTTAACAGCGTGGACGACGCCCCCTGACGTAATGGGGGACGGGGGCGGGATTAACAAYCATGATTGACACTTGGGAGGCAACTTGATAAAACCAGCCTTTTTTTAAACAAATCATTTGAAATTACATAGGTACGCGTTTATTTAAAACTTTATTWAAAAAGTGCACATATTCTGAATCATCCTTGATTTGAATATAAAAAATATGAGCAGTGTTCTGTGAGGGTTTGGATTATGTAGTAGACAAATACAATGATGCCTAAGAGTACATTTTAATCAATGAAGCAACAAAGTTTTGGTGTTAAATAGTATTATTATTATTACTATTATTATTA